TCTTTCTCTCAATCTCTCTATCTCTGTGTCTCTCTGTCCAGACTCTGCCATCTTGGTCTCTCTCTTTCCATGAGTTCCCTATTTCTCTGTCCATCTCTAGCACTGCCTTAACTTCAGCCTGTTTCTCTCCCCCCACCTGTCTGTTCCCTCCTTCCTCTTTCTCCTCTTTCTGTGTCTCTGGCTCCTTCTCTCTCTCTCCCTCTCCTTATTTTCTCTCCATCACTATCTCCTACTCTCTCTCTGGTGAACAAGGAGCTCCTCGTCCCTAGAGCCCCTGCTGACTTGAGGAGGACCCCCAAACACATGCCTGGGGAGTAGGGTGCCCCTGAGCAGCAGGAGTGGCAGGAGAAGAGCACCACCCCACCACCCCAACGTGAGCCCACTGTATCTTCCTGTGTGCCGGGAGCCGGGGGTGAAATGTCACCACTGGGTCTCAAGCCAGTCGTTGGGCTGACAGATGTCGTGGGTGTGGTGTGCGCGCACCTGTGTCCCCCAGCCAGGGTGCGGGGACCGGAGCATCTTACATTCGGGGGCATCTGGTCCCCAGATGAACACCTGGTCCAACCCTTCACCTTCACATAAAGAAACGATGATAGTAAACACTCGGACACACCAGGCAGTATTCACGCGCTTAGTTCTCACACGCCTCTAGGAAGGGCGGCCCATCATCATTCCCATTCGACAGATGGGAAAACTGAGGCACTGGGAAGAGAGGTCACCTGACCAAGGTCTGGGATTTGAACCAGGGCCATCCATCTCCCGTCTGTCTACTGAACTGTTGTCACATGTCAGCAGGAGCCAAGACCCCCAGGGGCTCGGGCCCCTTCCCCACCCTCAGTCTGAAACCCATCCCCAGGCAATGGTGGCAGACAGTCTGACTGTGGGCACTGGAGTCCAGGTAGGGCTGCTTGCTCTCACATTAGAGACGGACAGAGCCCAAGCCTGGGAGGGGTCAGCAGCCCCTTTTCCCTCAGATGTGTCACCCTTAGTTCTCCGTCAATCCTTCCCTACTCTGGGCAGCCCCCCAACACACACCCTCTCTCTGTTCCAGTGCTGGGCGTCTCGCTGATTCTGTTGGAAGTTGGATCCCAGAAAACCAGTGGTGAGACTGCTGGGAACAAAGAAGTCACAGCCAGAGCCTGGGGAAGGGGCCCTGGGCCCCCACAGCCCAGGCAGGGGGGAGGCCTGCTGCAGGGGGAAGGCCAGGGCTGCCCCTCCCAGCAACCCCTCCTTTGGGGATGATCCTGTCCCCCTCCCCAGCACCTGGCTCAGACCTCACCTTCCCACTGTGGTCACCATCCCTACAGACTGTGCTCGCTGGTGCCCTCCAAAATCCACATGTGTCAATGCCACCACCTGTCGCTGCTCCCCGGGATTCATTTCTTCGTCCGGGGAGATGTTCACCAGCCGCTTGGAGAGCTGTGATGGTACAGGGGCTTGGGATGGTGCAGGGGCGTGGAGACGGTGGGGCATAGCCCAGTGCCCATGGGGGATGCGAGTGGTGGTTGGGGTCTCAGCCTTTGGCCTTGGGACTGTCATCAAGGGCAGAGAAAAGAGAAAGGAAAAGATAGAAAAGTGGAAAATAAGTGAATAAATATGGCTTCCTGGAGAGAGAGGAGCTCTGGAGTCTGTGCTTCACTTTGCCCTTCCCAGACTGGGCGGGAAGATGCAGAGCTGCCACCCCCCACCATTTCAGCACTCCCTACTGAGCTCAAGTCCAGGATGCCAGACAGAGGGCAGAGAAGAGCAGAGCTGACTGATTGGGCTTCAGGAATGGCTTGCTCCAGCTGCAGCCCAGCCTCTACAGCATAGCTTAAGAGTCTAATCCTTTCCCAAAAGACACTTTAAGCGTCGGCCCCGTGCTGGGGAGTCAGGTGTGGGATAGGGATCTCTTCCTGAAGGAACTCATGCCTTTGGGAGGTGACCCTTTACCCTGTTGTGTTCCAGACATCAACGAGTGTGGACCATCCTCGGCAGTGTCCTGTGGAAAATTCGCAGATTGCCAGAACACAGAGGGGAGCTTCTACTGCACGTGCATCCAAGGGTATGAGCTTGCTTCCCAGGCAAGAACGTTCAGGAATGAGAGTGAGAACACGTGTCAAGGTAAGAGCCACCCCGCACTTTCCATCTCCTCGTCCATGAGGTTTGGGGTCACCAGAGCCATTCCTGAATCATCCCACGTCTGTCTGCCTGTTCCTGAGCCTCCAGCACAGAGAGGCAGGGTAGTGTGAAGGCCAAGGGTCCAAATCCTGACTTTGCCACTTGATAGCTGTGATAGCTGTGTGTGTGTGACACTGGCCAGGACACTTATTCAGAAATCACCGTTAATGTGCAAGATGTGATAACATTATTGTGATTTGTGTGTGTGTGTGTGTGTTTTTTTAAGAGTCCCTATTTTTTACAGATGAAAAGAAAAGTAGCTTTGCTTTTTGTTAACTGTGTGACCTTGGACAAGTTCTTTCACTGCTCTGTGGCTATTTACCCATCTGTAAAAAGGGGGTGACAATGGTGCTTACCTCATAGAATTGCTGGGAAAATAGAGACAGCAAAGCACAGAATGGTGGCTGTTGGGCTTTGAATGATCCTCATCATGATCTAATGCACCCCTTCCAAGATGGGCACCCCTGGGGTCCGCCCCAGGATGGGCATGGAGACCGGCTGCTCCCGTCCACCCCCCACCGCAGTCACATCTCTTGCCGTGGTCTTGCCGGGTGATGCCACAGTGCGGGCCCAGGTGAAGCCCGGCCTCTGTGCATCACCAGGACTTGCCCCCATCCCAGGGAGAACAGCAAGCACAGGAAGGGGCTTCGGGTATCCACAGGGGGCAGAGAGGGCCAGCAATGAGTGGGCAGGAGCGATCACTTGCCCAGAGGGAGGGGGTTAGCGCAGAATAGAGAGAGAGAGAGCAGGGGAGGAGAGCAGAAGTGAGAGGCGAGGACGAGGTGAGCTGGGGGTCCAAAGGACTCTGGGGTGGGTCCATAGGCCCTCCCTGCTGTGGAGAGAAGAGCCTACAGCCTTGGTCCCCAGTGCCGTCCTGCCCTGCGTGCAGACAGAGGGCTGCAGAGCCTCGCCAGTGGGAGGGAAGGGAGGACCTGCGCGTCCGTGGAGCCCAGGGGGAGGTCTCTGTCCACGGCTCTGCTGCTCCCTAGGGGCCTCTGGGTGAACGCTCGGCCTCAAACCTGTGGCCTGGCCAGAGGACAGAGTCTTTCTGTGACATATGCCTGGTCAGGGGGTGCCGCCCCCCGACTGCTGTGAGCCCCCAGCATGGGTGGTCGCTGTGGTTACGGAGAGGATGTATTGCTGTATCAGAACAGGCCAGGGCTGAGAGAGGGGGCTCGGTCAGGCCGCTGGGCAGGGACATGGATGCACAAGAGACGGGAGAGGGACCACTGTGGACCTCAAGCTGGGTGACAGGGCGAGAACAGTCTGCTGGCTTGGCCCAGGGCCTGCTGCCTCAAGACCTAGCTCTGGGACGGGCTCAGCCTTTGCCGCAGCTGAGGACACATGTCGCCATGTCGTGGCAGTGGGATCTGCTGCAGACGGGAGACCCAGGCCCTTGCTCCACTTTCTCCCAGGCATCAGAGGACGTCCTGGGCACCCACCTGGTGTCCCGAACCTCTCTGAATCCCAAGGCTCAGAACCCTCCCCGGAGGGTCACTTTCGGATGTTTGGACTGCCCCCCTGCCTCCCCAGCATCTCGTTTGCATAAAACGAGGGGAATGGCATTCAAGATACTTGGCAGGAGGTGCAATATCCATCCTCTTCACCACCATCAGTAACCGCCTGAATGAGACCTGGCCCCACTGGAGCCCACATGGGCCTGGCCATACCAGGAGCCCTCTCAGGCCCTCGGCCACGACAGACCCAGGGACCCCATCAGGAAAGATGGGAGGACGGAGATTTGAGGGCGGGTGTGCGGCCGGCCCTGCCTTAGCCAGCATCCCACCTGGAGAAGGCTCTTCCTGATACCCTGACCCCGGCTTCTCAGCCATTCGGCCTTCCTCTGTTTCCCTGTGCAAGGACCCTCCCTTGTAGCTTTGATTCAGCCTGGATGACCAGGACCCAGAGGATGTTGTGTTTGGGGTGGGCCAGGTGACACCAACCCCCCACCCCACGCACACACATGCACACACACTTAGAGAGTCAGGTGAACCCAGAAGCTCCTGTCTCGACCAGATGACAAGAGAGGCTGTCATCCAGGACCATTGCCCCGGGTCTAACCCTCTCCTGAGGAGGTCAACTCAGGTCCCATGGAGCACTGGACCGCTCAGGGACTGAAGACAGAGGCTGAGCCCCATTCAGCTGGGTCCAGTGTGTGCATCCCTGGTGGGAGGCCAAGGGCCAAGAAGACAGAAACATGGGCCACCTCTCGCCCATCAGCACCCGCCAGAAAAAGGCATCTTCACTGCCCCAAGGCTGCCTGACTGGACATCAGTGACACTGTCCACCCTAGCCTGGTGCCCACTGTCCGGACGGCCCTGACCTGTCTGGCACCATCCTTACTCTCCCTGCCCCACCCAAAAGCCTCGTCCTTGGAGGGCCTGGCTCAGGGGTGGGTCTTGTCCATCTCCGTGGAGCTGGAATCTCAGAGTTTGCATGGATGGGAGTGTTCTGCAAGGATCACTGGGATTCCAAGCGCGAACTCAGCCAGTGAGCGGCCACCCTGGGGGAGTTAGGACGAAGGCCATCGCTGGGAGCCATGACAGGTCCCGGTCCGGGAATGCAGCATTTCCCCTGCACTTGGTTCCCAGGAAGGCCCACCCTGGACTTGTCCAAGTCCTCAGGCTTGGACGCAGGTGGCTGTGATGTCCCTGCCCCAGCTGGGAGCTGCCCAGAGAGGCCGAGGGAGCCAGGGCTGGCAGACGGGGAGGACTTGGACCACTTCTGGCAACATCTGGAAACAGAACATCTGGGCCACCATGCTCGCCCATAGCACGCCTCCGTGTGAATTAGAAAAGGCACCCACTCACCAGAGAAGAGACAGTGGGGCCTTCCAGATGCTTCTATCCCAGGACACAACTGCAGGCACCCATCACCCTCTCCTTCCCCCTGCAGACGTGGACGAATGTCAGCTGAAACCCCGAATCTGTAAAAGCCGCGGCATCTGCACCAACACCCAGGGCAGCTACACCTGCGAGTGCCCGCCCGGCTTGGAGCTCAGCCCGGGCGACCCGAATCTGTGCACAGGTAGAGGCCCTGGCAGACGCTGTGAGGCTGCGCTGGAGCTGGGGAGGGGCCGAGGCGGATCCCGCAGCCCCAGGAGGAGGGAGAAGACCCTCAGGTTCCAGAAACACCAGGGGTTTGCTCTGCCCAAGGATTCATCTCCCCGGAAGGTCCCACCACAGAGCAGGGAGGCAGCAGGGCCTTCTGGACCTGGGGTTCCCTTGTGGAGCCCCCAGCCTCTGTGCACACCTCCCGGCCTCACCCCTCCTCACCTGTCACATGGAAGCAGAGGAAGATGTCACTTCCAGTTCCCAGAAAGGGAACCTGGGCCAGAGCTGGGGAGGGAGTAGGCAAGAGTCCTTAGAAAGAAAGTTCAGGCTCCATGACTCAGTCTCCCTCCTGGTTTCACAGCCTATAAACTGGGGACCATGGTCCCTGCCGTGCCTCTCTTGCAGGGAAGCCATTGTAAGGTGCTTTGAGGTTGAAGTTGAAGGTCACCAGGCGTAGCATGTGTAGTAATGGTGGGGTCCTTGGTGCCAGGCAGTAGAAGAGGGGCAGTGAGTGGAGGGGACCCTGACCCTCTGGCCTTGTCCTCAGATGTGAATGAATGCACGTCAGGGCAGAACCCATGTCACAACTCCACCCACTGCCTCAATAACATTGGGGGCTACGAGTGCCGCTGCCGCCCTGGCTGGAAGCCAGTTCCTGGGTCCCCCAATGGCCCCAAGAACACCGTCTGTGAAGGTACAGAGCTCAGATGCCACATCCTGGAGACCCACACTCAGAACATCTGATCACATATTCAGTGGCACTGACACAAACCAAGCAGAATGACCCCTGGGGGTGCCCTG